GAGAGAGAGAGAGAGAGAGAGAAATATTTCTCGTACACTCTCACGCGCATACGTACGAGAAGCTTCATTATGATTTCAGTAGAATACTAGTTGTTATTACATTTTTTACAATGTAATTTTTGTCCTAATTTATTTTGTAGCCAACTTTTATTAGACCTCTTTGTTTTATTTTTCTTTTTATTTACTTTACCGTTTTGATCGCATATTTTATTACATTTTTCGTATGCGTAAACTGATTTTAAGCCATATTAATTAACATCGAATCAAGCGATAGAGAAATTTAATTACGCGTCTAGTCGAATATCCAATGAAAATTGTTTGATTATTTTGTTTTTTCTTTTTCTCATGTTCGATTATAATATTGCGATATTTTACGAGAATGTGATTCGAATCTCGTACGAACGATTGAGATACTAAATATATAAAACACGCAAAGAAAATAGATGTTTGGTTTTTTTTTTCGCTAGACGAGCTAGACGAAGAGTAGATGAAAAAAAAAGAGAAAGAGAAAGAGAAAGAGAAAGAGAAAGAGAAAAAGGAATATCGATGAATGGAAATGCGTTCGTTGGAAGGAATAAAGTCGAACGAATGGTCCAGCAGATCCGAGTAATCCGAACGGTTAACGCTTTCTCGGAATCCCACTGGGTATATAATGGTCATATAAAATGGGGCTGCTCGATTTTTAACGTAAAGCAACGGGGTTAGGTTGGTAGATTGGTTGGGGCCAAACTCTATATCACCTTTTCCTTGGCTACGCGAGGGAGATAAAAGGATTTATACGAATATCACGCGGCCTCACGAAAGAACGTTTTATCTTGGATCATCTCGACTTGAAATTGCACATTCCTTACGTTTTCTTCCTTTTCAAATATATGTACTTACGTATATTTAAGTATACTATATTTTTTCTTTCTCCCCATTTCGTCTATCTTTTTTTTTTTCAATTATCTAAAATTACGTCTTTTCGATTTTTATGTTATCTATTTATGTGACAATGATTATTATTTATTTGATTTTGTTTTATATGGTGGGTATTTTTCTTTGTTTTTTTTTTTCATTGTATATTGCATATTGCTTACGCTTTATTCCAAATATATGTACTCTTACACATATATTTAAGTATCCTATATTTTTTCTTTTTCCCCCATTTCACCCATCTTTTTTTTTTTTTTCAATTATCAAAAATTATGTCTTTTCGATTTTTATGTTATCTATTTATGTGACAATGATTATTATTTATTTGATTTTGTTTTATATGGTGGGTATTTTTCTTTGTTTTTTTTTTTCATTGTATATTGCATATTGCTTACGCTTTATTCCAAATATATGTACTCTTACACATATATTTAAGTATCCCATATTTTTTGTTTTTCCCCCACTTAGCCCATCTTTTTTTTTCCATTATCAAAAATTATGTCTTTTCGATTTTTATGTTATCAATTTATGTGACAATGATTATTACTTATTTGATTTGTTTTATATGATATTTTTTGTTTTTACTGTATAATGCATATCGTTTTCTTCCATTAAAAATATTTTTCTCTACATATATTCAAGTATCTTAAATTTTGATAATCCCATTTTGAGTTTTTAAGATTTGTTTCTAATGAAAAAAAATAATTATTAAATATAAAATTAAAATATATATATATTATACGCGTACACACAAGAAATGATATAAAATGATGTCGAATTATTTGGAATAATTTCACAAATTCTATTTAAAAGAATATTTTTATGATACTTTCTAATATCGGCAAAAATTCTATGAGTTTCTATTGAAATGAAAAAGAATTTTAGGCCAGTCCCTTATAAATTCTAATATCTCTCATGAAAACCTTCGAAAAATCTTTTTCATTCGGTGGAAAAAAAAGAAAAAAATGAAATGATCGTAAGAGATAAGAGGGAAAAGGAATCCCGATTAAATCGATCGCGTTCAGTATTCCAAAGTAATTTCGTAAATTTTCTATCTTCCATTCGAAAATATCCATATCTTTATAGATCTGTCAGATATTTAAGATGAAGAAGAACGAAAAGTAAAAAAGATGTGGAATAAGAAGATCTAGAGAAAAAAAAAAAAAAAATTGGAAAGAAAAAGAAGTAAAATAAAATATAGAAGAAGAAGAAAATATTGGAAGGTTGGTAAGGTCTTCCTGAATTGGGATCGATATTATTCGATATAACGGTATTACAAGAGAAAAAATCTCGTCCTGAGGTAAAGGTAAAAAATTCATAGGACTTGGTTGTAACTTACCGTACGGTTTCCCAAGTTTTTGACTTTGCAGACGAGTGCCACGGTTTTGCCCACCAACCCGGTGAAATTCGATTGCATGGAAGCGTCGAAAATGGGCACGGTACCTGGCGTTGGCCATTCCTCCAAGAAATCGGTTCGAAAGTTTCGCAAAGAGGATACCATGGCGCCTGTATCAAACAAAAATACCATAAATTACATATCAAAAACGTTATTTTATTTCTTCTAGTATTAATCAATTTTTACAAGAAATATGAAGGAAACAACACAACCAAATACGATCACATTTTCTTTTCGAATTTTCTATTAATCGAAACTTAGAATCGTGATCTTTGACCTTTGCCTTTTAATTATTTCAATACGGTCAAGCAGGAATATTAACTTTTCGCATTTTTCATTGATTATTTACCGGCTGTTATAGACGTTCGTTTGCATACCTTAAATAACTTGCAAATTGTCCGCGTAATGAAAAAATTATGTAAATCGTTCATCGCAATAAGAATTTTTTCTCTCTTCTTTATTCTTTTCTTTTTTTTTTTTTTTCTTTTTATACGATTTAAACAAACGATGATATAAAAGTTGAACCTCCTCCTCCTCCTTTATGTCTCATAATATTATGATATATTAACATTTTGACGTTCATTGAAATAATTAACGGAGAATATATTTCGATGGATATATTATTATTAGGAAGAAGATTTTCATACTGAATTTTTTTTTAATTATAATGGGGAAAGGGGGGGGGGAATAACGCGTTCAAGTTATTAAACGGAAATTAATTTCCGAGTTATAGTTAGGAATGGGTCGAGGAAAAGGTAGGAAAAGTTTTTATTCTTTCTCTCTCTCTCTCTCTCTCACACACATACACTTTCTCTTTCGTTTTGTCTCTTTTATCGGACGTTATCCGTTTCCTTGAAAATTCTCTAAGTCCGTGGAGATTAATGTTGAACGATAGATTTGAGGATAATTCGTAGAGGTCGTGGCGTGCAATAAATCGCAACGTCAAAGCAAACCCGGACCCCCTCCCCCCCCCCCCCCGACTGATGCGGTTTTACCCTCTCGTTATACGATTAAACGCGATATATCGTATTACATCAGCCGTCAGTATACTCGCTGAACGAACCACTCTTCTCCGACGGTAACGTCAATTTCGTTAAGTGCTTACATTGTGTTCGAACGACTAATGGAAGCTTCGATGAGTGGTTTTTCGAGTGAACAAAAATTTTCATCCGAGAACTTTTTCACAGTTATTTTTTTTCTTCCTTTCCTTTTTCCCTTTCCCTTTTTTCCCCCCTCTTTCTCTATTTCTTTCTTTCTTTCATTTTATTTTTCCCTTTCTTTTAAAGTTTATAGTATAATAAACTTTATTATCAGTTTTAGATTAAAATTGTATCGCCAGATTGTAATATAGTTAATCTAATGATTTTATTTTATTTCCATTGTTTTTATATAATTTTGACAATTTAATTAAAACTTATATTGAAAATTTGATTATTAGTTAGTTTGATTCGTAGTTTGTCGCTTTTGTGTATTCCTTTTGTACGGTTCTTTCTTTTATCACGTGCATATATATTTTTATCAATTTAGGCTTATCAAATTTGATATTATTATTTTCTATTGAAATTGTATCGTGTTATATTAAAATAATATTTATGTGTTTCGCGATTTTATTTTGTATTTTGTATTTTTGCCAACAAAGTGTTGTGTGTAGAAAATTAAATAATTATTTTATATCCAAATTTAATATTAATGATAATAATCGTTTGATTTATACGGTGCACGGTTTTAATACTGTTCTTTTTGTACAATTGTTTTCTCTTCCTCCCTTTACAAATATATTTTGATATCAACTTCTATTAATATTATTGATAATTATTTTTTTGTTTCTTAAATTTGACTGTGTTCAATTTTATTATTATTATCATTATTTTATATTTGTTACATATACACACACACACACACAAGCGTGATAGAAAATAATTGAATACTCTAACGTAAGAGAATAATTCATTTCAGTTCGGAAACATTTCATTTCGTTCGTCGAAAGCATTTCGAAATGAGTGAACTAATTTTATACACAGATAGATACGCTAGGGAACAAGAGCTCGACTTGTCGTCGGAAGAATACTTAGCGGACTGCTTACATCTGCATTTTAAATTCGATGTTTCCCGATTTCTGCTCCAGTTCTCAACTATTTCAGTTCGCAATGCTTCCAGTTTCATAATTAAATTCAACGATTACAAACATGAAAATCCAAAAAGGAGCATGAACGTTAACGCACAGTTTTGATATTCCGATTAATTCCAATGTTTAATTACTATCTTTTGCTATTGAATAAATATCTCTTTGCCTTTTGATTACTCACTTCCATCGTTTTCAAATGGACTAATTAGTTGTCTGATTAAATATTGAGAGAAATTAATTGAGAAAAAAACATTTCAAACGACGTTCCCCGTCATTTTCAGATAAAATTTTATATTTTTAAATGTTTATATGCACACGAATATATATGAATGTTGTGCATGTGTGGTTGTTTTTAGCGTGACGTATAAAGAACGATTAAATTAATTGGATTAGAACGTTGAATGAAATGAATGTATCGCGTAATTTAGATTAGCATTTTTGAGAAATAAAAAAACTAATAGAACAAACAATTTCTAGATTGATTTCTTTTTTCTTTAATTTTTATATTCTCTTTTCCTCGTAAAAAAACAATAAAATATAATAAATAAAAAAGTATAAGAAGATAAAGAGTGCGAAAATTATAGTTATTTTTTTAAATTGTTCCTGAACAACAACGTTGATATTACGACAAAATGTTATTTTCCTATCGTTTTACGAACGACGATTATCATTACGAGTGCGAATTTTCTTTCATTCTTTCGAATATCGTTGTGTTAAGAAAGTGGAACAACATCGCCATTGAAAAACACACAAATATATACTCTCACACGAATGGAGACAATGCAGCTCTTTAATCCCGTTGCATAAATATCATTTTGAAAACATTTTTGTATACGTCGACAGTTTTTATTATCGACTTTAAACTTGAGTCACAATGTTAAGTATTTAAGTATTTAAGTGCTCGTATTTTTATATTGTAAATTGGTTGTTATGCTTTTAAAGAATACTCGAAAAATATTGATGACAACTATCACGATGACACTTAAAAACAAAACAATAGATGCAAAACGTGTCAATGTTTCTAATCAAATTCTCTTGATTGCAAAAAATAAACAATTAATTTATTTCATTTTAAATATAAAATGTTTAAATCTAAATCAAGAAATATCTAATTGGTTTTATTTTTATATTAGAAAATAAATAAATAAATACAATACAAATAATCTCGATCAGATGCATTAATAATTTGACACGTATCACATCAGTTTAAAATATAATATATAACTATTATTATTATATTATTATAATATTAAGCTATAGTTAAACTAAAACTAGAGCGAAGGGGATTATCTGGTATACAAGATAAGAAGAAGAAGATTTATATCATCCCTTGGAGACATATCTATCGTCACGTTTCAGCAACGACATTATCGACCAACCCCTATCTTCCTAACTAGGAGTATTCAGGATTAATCTTTTTCTTTTTCCTTCTCGGTGGAATAAAAATCAACATGTAAGAAGTTAAGAGGGAGACGAAAAGGTTTTGACAAATGTTGACTCAAGCAAACGTTATAATTATTTCAGGCTTTACCTCCAAGCAAGAAGGGTTGAATACACTGACACATACACACATACACATGTATACATATTTACGTTTGGATTTATCTCTTTGTTAGTGTTGTATGTACCTATATGCACATCCATACATATTCATATATAAACGTCTGGATTTATGTGTGTTTATTTACGTGTATATATTTATATTACACATATATATATATTTCTATGTACGAGTATATATGTACGTCTGAATTTGAGTGTGTGTATGTTGGGTGTGTATGTACACTATCCGACAAAATTTTGGAATTCCGTGAGACAGAATAGTTGTAGCAAAAAAATGAATGCCTTTGGAATAATGAAATATTATTTGTCAGATAATACAAAACTTATGAATAGATAAGGTGTTTTACATTTCGTATCATCATATTCGTATGCACGAATCGAATATAGTTTATCAAATTGCCCTTTATAAATCGATAAAATCATTCTTATATTTAACGACAAATCCGACACATTTTAAATACCATTGCAATCAATTTTTCCGATTGTTTCCGAATAATTTCTTCAATTATCTCGTTTAGAAAAATTGTCAAATGTGTTCGAATACGAAAATTGTATTTCGAAACGTTGCTTTAAACTGGGTGTTAACAAAAAAAAACATTAACAAAAACGTCATGAATATAAAAAAACAAAAGAAAAGTAATAAAAATATTTTAAAAACATAGTAGATATATTAAGCGTAACGAAAATAATGTGAAAAATCATCGGCGAATTATTAGAAACTTTTGGTTGGTAGTGTAGTATATGCATATCCCACGTCCTAAGTATATACGTCTGGATTAAAGTATCTACGTTTCTGAGTGTGTATTATATGTAAAAGTACATAGGTATAAATGTGAAGGATAAATAGTAAGAGGAAAAGGGTAGGTGATACCAGTGCTGCTCGGTTGTTACGGCCCAGAAGCAGAAAGATCTTTTTGGACATTGAAGGACAGGAGCGAATTTGGCTAGTCACCACAGAATCCTATTTCGTCCCCTGCGGTACCGTTAACTGGCCGACCTCATCTCCCCCTTTTTCCTCGTCCACCCTTCTCTTCTCTTCATTCCTACGAATGGTCAAACCAACTTCATTTCCTGCCTTGTGAATTTCCCTCCCGTTTATTTTTCTCCACGTATACGTGTATTTTTTGTATCTTTCTATCTATCCCCTACCGCCCCCCCCCTCCCCACCCCCTTCCATTCTTTCTATTTATCTTTTCGTGTTTTCCCTATCTTTGTCCTCTGTATTCCTTTTTTTTCCTTTGGCTATCGGACAAACACATTTTCACGAGTCCCAACCCAACGATTTAGAAAAAGACTGTGAGATATCCTTCCTGTAGGAAGGGTAAGGAAAAATAAGGAAGACTCGATCAGTGAAACTTTTGGTGATAGCAATTGGAACGATAACGAGAGAACATCTCTTCTATTCTTTTCTCTTACTTTAGT